TACTAAATGTCGTAGGTATCCTAAAGCCCATATGGCACTGAGGGCCTCCAGCTCAGTGATGGTGTAGTTTTGCTCGGCTTTTGACAAACTTCTACTTATGTATGCTATTGGGTGGGCCCTTTTTTTTTCATCTTCCTGAAGTAAGACTGCTCCTATCCCTATAGTGCTTGCATCAACTCGGAGTTCGCAGTCTTTGTTAGGGTTGTAATGCTGTAGTACAGGTGCTGTAGTCAATTTTTCTCTCAGTGTATCAAATGCCTCCTGTTGTTCAGTTCCCCAGAAAAATCCTTCATTTTTCTTAGTAGTCTCATGTAATGGACGTGCAATTTTAGCGAAGTTATTTATGAATTTTCTGTAGAAGTTGCAAAGTCCTACGAAGCTTTGTATGTGTTTCACTGATTTTGGGGTTGGGAAATTTTTGATAGCCCTTAGTTTTTCTTCATCCGGAGAAAGTCCATTAGCGCTGACAATATGTCCTAAAACCTTCACCTCTTTCTTCGCGTATATGCATTTACTTGGTTTGAGCGTAAGTCCTGCTGATCTCAGTCGTTGAAAAACCCTTTCGAGTTTCTGAATATGTTCATCCAAATCCTTTGAAAATATGATAATGTCATCCAGGTATATTAGGATATCCTTCCATTTCATGCCCTCGAACACCCTATCGGCCAATTCCTGAAAAGTTGCTGGGGCGTTACAAAGGCTCAGAACGTTAAATTCGTAGAGTCCGTGTCCCTGTGCGATAAATGCCGTGTAGGGCTTAGATTCTTCCTCAATCCTGACCTGCCAGTAACCACTGAACATGTCTAATGTAGTGAAATATTTGGCATCTCCAAGGTGTGTGAGTATATCGTCAATATTAGGCAGGGGGTAGGTTGATTTTTTGGTCACACTATTTAGTTTCCTGTAATCTACACAGAACCTTATTTTGCCATCTTTTTTCTTGACAAGAACCACTGGGCTTGACCACGGAGAATGGCATGGACGAATTATATTGTTATCTAGCATATCCTGTATTTGTTCGTCAATAATTTCCCTTTCTTTCTGCGACACTTTATAGGGCCTATTTTTAATTGGTTTTGTGTCTTCCATTATTTCGATCTTGTGTTCTGTTAGGTTGGTTATGCCCATTTTTCTCGTGGATTTTGAGAATACGTCTGCGTATTCCACAAGCAATTCTGAAAGGCTTTCTTTGAATCCTGCATCCTCCAAGTGTGACAGATCATGATCACTTAGTAACACGTCTTCATCTTGACCTTCCTCGTTTTCTGTGTACAGAATTAGGGCTTCCTCAAAGCCACTATCTTGATATTCCAGGAAACCGACCGTCGTACTTCTGAATATTTTTTTATTCATATTGCTGAGGTTCATTATCATGAGGGTAGCATCGTTTTTCTCTATAGAAAGGGGTGAACATATCAATCCATTATTCGACAGAAAAATTTCGTTTTGCGTGAATTTGAAGTTTTTTAAATCCGAAACATTTCTAGAAAGTTGAACTAACACTTTTGTTTTCGCCCAGGGTTTCAATATGTGGTCGTCTTTCAGGATTACTTTGTCAGGTTTCTCAGGCACTTCGACTTCTGTGGGAATCTCTATCCATTCCTCTGTAGTGTTTCCTTCGGTCTGCTTTGCTTCTGTATTTGGGGTAAGAGTGGTTTGTTCCTCGATTATGTTGGAACATGGTTGTAGCATAAAGGTCCCAATGTTTTCGGGTTCTGTATCAAAAATTCCAAATACTTCGCTGATGCATTCATTATTTTTCAACGTAAATTTTGTGATCGCAGCTATCTCGCTATGGTATGCATTCTTGTAGTCAAATGTTTCGGGTATTCTGCGGTCCACTTCAGACGATAAGGCCAAATTAGGTGCTTGTTTATGTTGTTTCATCCCCCTAGTTATGATTTTTCCTTTAATATCGAGGGTTATTTTTCGATTACGCAAATCAATGACACACATATGTTTATTCAAGAAGTCCATGTCAAGTAAAACAGGTACTGGAAGTTTGTCTATAACTATAACTTTACACGTTATTTCCAGGTGCCCTATAGATATCCTGATTATTGCCTCTCCCATCGTTGGGACTTTCTGTCCTCCGGCTACGATTAAATTATTTCGGCAGGGTCTATAATATTTTATGAAGTCCTTTGAAACTATGCTATTTTGGGCGCCTGTATCTAAGACTGCGCTTACTGGTTTTTTGTTGATTTTTAGCCCTATCGTCAAAACTTCTTTAGCAGTCGTGTGTTTCATGCCTCCGCTGTTTGACAGGATGACGGCGGAGTTTAGTTGTGTCGTCCGTTCCCGTTTGGGTAACTGTCTGTCCTACATGTAATCGCCGTATGTCCTACCCTGTTGCATAATTGACACCGAGGCCTTCCATCGTGGTTACGTGAATTGAATGCTCTATTAGCTGAGGGTCCTAAGTGCGAAAAATTGCCGTTTGGGTTATAATTTCCATACCTTATTGGAGGTTTCCCCTGATAATCTGGACGCCTTTGTTGCCCTTGAAAATTACTTCTGTAGTTGCCTTGTCTGTATTGATTGGGATTTGGTTGTGATCTGTAATATCCTTGTTGATTTTGAGTATTTCCATTTCGATTTGACTGCCGAAAATTAGTTTGGTTCCTCTGGGGATGGTAATCGTTGTTCCTGAATCCTGATACTGGTGGTTCGTAATTAGGGGTTGGTTGATTTTGAGCGCATTGGCAAGGGTGAAGAGGGCCACAGCGATTTGTATTTGGGCTGGATACATCTTCTAATTTATTCACCATTTTGTTGAACTTTTCCCATGTCATCCCGTCTTCCAGAATAAGCCTATAGTTGGTATAGAATTCCTGATGTATACCGTTTTCAAAATATTTCCGGAAATTCTCCACATCAAAACCTGGATCGTACTCACCGTACAGAGTTTGTAGTTGGTAATAGTAGGTTTTTATTGATTCTCCGGGGGTTTGTTTCCTATCGAGGAGACGTTTTTCCATGGATCTTTTGAAGTCCTGACCTTCATATTCGCCCAGAAAGTCCTTTTTTATTTCAGGCCACGTTTTTTGGGAATTCTCAACAGCTTCTGTATACCTCGTATACCAAAGGTTTGCTGCATTTTCCAAAAAAGATCCGAAGTATGCGATTTTTAGTGAGTTATTCCATCCATTTGCTGCTGCTGTACGTTCGTAGCCTTTCATAAATGCCGATGCGTTATCAGAACAGGGGTTGAAAATCTGTGGGCTCAGGAAAGAGGGAGTAGCTGGGGTTCTCGGGGCTACGAGACTAGCATTCAGCGTGACGTTTTCCATATTTGTTTCAATTTTAGTGGTTGTCAAAGTAGTGCCTGAAATTATGCTGTCGGGATTCGAGTTAGGGATGGTAATTTCATCTATTGCCTCTTTGTCGTTTAATTCGATTTTCGGTATCTCACTGTCTCTGGGTTCCTGTATGTCTGCAGTCCCAATTTCACTGTCTTTCTCTGATAGATTACTGGACTCGGTAGTGAAGTTTAGCTGGTTTTGCGGGCTGTGCGTAATAGGGCTTAACGGTGGCAATCTTGACAGTTTCAATGACTTATTGAAAGGATTATTTTCGAATATGTCTGTGCTCCTGTGTGGGGGGTTGAACGGAATTTTTTCTAACGCAACTAATTTAGGTTTTGAAGATGTTTTTTGGTTAGGTTTCACCAGTCCTGATCGTAATTTGAAATTTAGAAGACTATCATCGGACATTCTTGGTGTCAGTAGGCATAATGACGAAACGTAATGTGTACAAATTGTACGTAGAGATGTGTCACAGGATTATAACAACAATATTTGTAGCGATACTAAATCATTAAAAATTCCGAATATATGTTCGAATTCCCCTTTTATATTTGTTTGTATATCAATAATAGCTTACTTTATTTCTTAAATAACCTACTTTCTTTCTTCACTTTATACTAATCATTCTATAACTTCTATAAGAATTTATTACTGCAGAAATTGAAAAATATTGCTATACTTAGATATGGATTTCAAGATAACTGAACTATTATATTCTATCGAATTTTTGTTTTTTCTTTCTTCTGATAACCCTTCATACTAGTGTCTCTTAACTTTGTTTTTTAATGAAATTGAGTCAGGTATAGTGAGTACATTATGAAGAATGAGACTCAAGAAAAGAAGCTTAGGCGCCTCCACCATGTCACGATCCTGGTCTTCCTGATGGGATAAGGCCACTGGATCATCTTTGAGGGTAGCTCAGATAGGGTAGATCATATCAACTCAGACACTAATAGTTTAAGAGGTATGAGAAGTAGTAAAAACCGTGTTAAAACCACAAATACATTTATTACATCATTGATATAAAAGAGGAATCATCCAAATGCGATACAAAACAATTAAGTGGTACTTACAATATAAATAGGGCCATTTCGGAGAGGGTTGTCTGGTAGGATGCACAAAGACCTAACTAACTCGTTAACGCGACGACTGACTGTGCGAACCGCTAGATTCCACGACCGACGGCAACTACCCGCTAATCAAGTATCCACTATCAGTTATCAACTATCAACTATCTCTTCAATAATCATAATCTGTATTTATCTGAATTCTCAAGAACTATTATTGTTTAGGTTATTCTCGGTACGTTACTAATGGAGGTTACTCAGTCGTACAGGTTGTTAACGAGTCAATGTCAAAACGTGTTCGAAATGTTTATAAACTTTTCTGTTCAATGAGAAAAGCACGATTTATAATTTTATAGAAATATTGAATTATTAATGACTTTGATTATGATTTTGGAAAAATTACTTAATTGTGACAATATCCATAATTGGCAGATCCGAGCCAGTACAGAATCTGAAGAACAATGATCTTGCACAATCGTTTTTTTCTTTTAGGAATTTTTTCAAAAATCCAAATACTTTAGTTTTATCTGTGAGTGATCACTTCACCTATTTTGACTTGTATTTTAGACAAACAATTTTTCACCGTTGGTTCTAGTGAAGATAAATGACTTTTAATGTCATCAAATTATATATTTTTTTGTTTCAACTCTAAATTGAAGCATTTCACCACATATGCTGGTTTCTGCACCAACTCTTTATGAGCAATATCTCTCACTAACTGTTGGATATCATTTTTTGCTGGAACCCATTTAGAATCGTATATAGTGATGATGTCCAGCAGTTCTTCCCTATCGACATTTTCAAAGTTTTCTGAAGCAGTTTTTATTGTCTCTCTTTCTGACACAAATGTATTCCTTGAGGTTGTTTAAGACTGAATCATCTGTTGGTTCAAGCCCAAAACAGTTTTGAAGGAATACTGGTGCTACTTTGATAGGTAAATATTTGTCGGTAATGAATCCATGGATAAAAACCTTAGCGATGGCCCTCCATTGAATTTCTTCAAAATCGTGCCTAATATAGGGTACTTTCAGATTAGTACCAACACTACATTTGTCATAAAATGTTGTCCAGAATTCAGATATAGCATCTCGGAATACTCCACCAAAATCTTCAGCAAATTCCACTTCACCGTTAGGCAAAACCATCTCAATTTTCATATCCATATTGTAAGAATATGTTTTCCCATAAGCAGCAAGAAATTCTTCGAAAATGTTACCTCTGTGAACTATAAGTTTTGTAGTCTTTCTATCATTGTCAGTATTTTCATTGGGCAATGAAATTGCAGCAAAATTAGCGTCAAACATATTAAAATTGAATAAATGTGGTTCTTCTCTTGATGGCAGTGGCACAGGACTCAGAGGAGATTCCTGAAATGGCACAGGACTCACAGGAGATTCCTGAAACGGCACAGGACTCACAGGAGATTCCTGAAACGGCACAGGACTCACAGGAGTTTCCTGAAAAAGATATTAAATCAATAACTTCAGTTCTCAACAACCTCAATGGGAAACTTATAATTCTCTACTCTATTTGGACATACATTTTTTGAAAAAATTTACCGATTTTCATGTGGTTTTCGATATAAAATGTGATATTTCATCGACTTCAAGGAGAGCTAGAACACTGTGAAAAAGTTCGCAGGACAAAACTTACCGAGGATGTAAAGTGAAACCAGTACGCTATAATTTTTTTTATTATGAAGTCATAATATTGTGACGATAAAAGGGTTGTTAGATGTTTAGACCATCCATATCGATTTAAAAGGGGTAATGCTTAGCTTAATATTTTGCGAGAGGTTATATTCGAATAGGCACTAATAGTTCAGGGGTAACTGAAAGTACAAGACTATATTCAAAGATATCAATATGTATTGAAGCATGCAACATCATGTGTAGTGATGATAAATATAAATCAACAACAAAGAATATAAAGACCTAATAACAACTTACATCATAGCGAACATCACAACGAGCTCTTATCAAGTCAAGAGTAGCCCCAGACCAGACTAACTTCGGAACCCTCACATCCAATTTTTATATACATCATTTTATTAGATATGCACGTTTCTCATGAGAGTTTCTTGGTCAGTTTTTATAATTCGATGTCAATGGATGATTTGATCAACTTTATGTTTATAAAACCCTCACAGTTCGAAATTGCTAATATACCGTATGTTCTACTCGTGACAATATGATACATTGGGGCTCATCTCAGGACGTTTTCGTGATTTCCCCCTTATTGGCTATTGGAACCAAAATGATTTGTTTTGAAAGGCTCGTATTTCTTGAAATTCTTCTTCAGATCTTCACACGAACTGAATATTGAGAAGATCTGTTTTGATGTTTTCTGGAGGTCAGTGAACGACGAATAACGGTGAAAGGACAAAAGGAAACCATATAATGTCATAATCGATATCAGGAAATGAGTTTGTATTGAAAAATGTCCTCCTGTATTCTCCAATTAGACGTGAATTTCCGAAAACGTCTGGAGTTGGTAGTCTAATTTATATAATGGATACTGAGAAGGCCGTTTTTTAATATCATGATTCGAATGAGCCATGGTTTTAGTCACTGTTTTTGATTTTTTTACTGAAATGAGATGGTTTCCTTTTAAACTTTCACCCTTTATATTCCACTATGATGCTTCATTCGTCTTTCATCGACTCAGAAAATATGGAAACAGTTCTTCCCAATATTCGGTTTGAATAGTGTTCTGGAGAAAAAATTTTGGAAATACAAGCTCTTTGAAAAAAAAATCATTACTTCTGTTCCAAAGGCGAATTGAGAAGAAATCACGATATAGTCCCCAGAAGAAGTCTAATTCATCATAATATGAATTACTCACAATGGGTTCCAAAAGCATCGCAAAGTGTAATGGATCCACATAACATCCTGTGTAAGTTTTGTTATGCAGACTTTTTCATAGTGTTCTAGCTTTCTTAGAAATCGATGTAGTAGTAGTAGTACCTAGTACTGAACAAAATGGCGGATGAGTATTCAATTATCATCATCCGATTTTATTCAAAACTGGTATCTGGAGGTTCTTGTCGCCGGCAATCATGATTCATCTGTCAAAAATGTAAAATTAATGATGGCGGCTTCAATATGGCAGATGAGTTTTGTAATTATGATCCGATTCTATTCAAAATAGGTATCTGAGGGTTTTCTGGGTCGGAAATCATGATTAATTCATCAGAATTGAGAAATTCTACATAGTGGCTTCAAAATGGCGGATGAGTTTTGTGATTATGGTCAATTATATTCAACATTGGTAGGTTATGTGGGGGCTTTTGTTGTCGGATATTTTCACCATCCATAAAAAATACTAAAAAGTTAAAAATAAAATGAACTTCTTGGAGACTATCTTTTATACGGATGCACTTGAACATTTTGTTGATATAGGTTCAAATTTATCTTCAAAAATCACTTCAAGATCTGGATCTTTGGATTATGACTCCAGTGTTTCATCTGTGTTTATGATAGAGCCAAATATGTCAGAAATTTAAAATCTTATCGATGGTCTTGATGTACGAGAATCTTGTGGATTTGATTATATTAGTATCAAAATTGTCAAAGTAATCAAACCTGAATTAGTAAATATCTGTACAATGGTATTGGCAACACTGCCATTGGAAGTATAGCATAGACAAATGACGGGGAGATTTAAAGATACTGTAAGTTTATAGTTTGGAAATCAGTAAAGTAGTTATCAATCAAAAGTGTCTCCAAGCTCTAATTCAATATATAAACATCTAGAACACTATCTTGTTAAAAATCATTTCTAAATATCATTTTTGACAAAATGAAAATTGCAAAGGTATTGCCAGAGATGTGAAAAAAATTGTAACTAAAAAGTTGTTTGAAATGACCCAAACTTGTATTTCGTGAAGTTGCTTCATAAACAGTATAATAATAATTATAATGCTCTAAATAGGTGAATACACAAGCTAAAGGATGTAAATTTGACCATTAAGAACTTTATTAGGAATTAGAAAATAATGTGATTACATTCTTTAAAGGCAAAATGTTGTCCACTATGATAATGGAGCAAGACACGATTTGGTACATGGCATAAAATATATATATTCACCATAAAATAATCATGTTCACAAAGAAAGTTCTCTAGGTAATTCCCAACTGACGATGTTTCTCCATTATCCTGGCTGAAGGATCGACGTCTCACCAGTGTTGGGCTAGCACTGGATGAGGTGCTAGGAACTGTTATAAAATGGTCAGCATTTTCCTCTGTTGGCAAATCTACCTTATAGGTTGTAGCTAAATAAAAACGCGATGTGGAAAGTCCGGTGATTCCATACATTTCCTGGACAGTCAAGTTTGACTCACATTTATGACTCTTGTAGTCTAATAACTGAACATCAAATGAATCAATGTTCCCTTTGGTTGATTGTCCATTTGGGGAAGATGAATTGATAGCCGTCTGCAAGATTGCCTTGCATCTACTATTTTCATCTATCGGTATTCTCCTAGTCCCACCTCCTTCATCAATTCTAACTTGGGTGTAACTTTTTTTGTTTTTGTGCATGTAGAATCATCCTATTTCAATGAATCAAGTTTTTTTGTATTTCTCATATCATGGCTCTTGTTTACCTTTGATTTGGTTATACATTGTTATCCATTTTATTCCTGATTTTTTCAATCAAACTTTGTTTGCTGCAGCTAGTTTTCTTTTCACTGAAATTTTTCACAGCAGCTCTGTCACCATATTTGCACTGAGAAAACTCGGCCAAGTAAATTGTTTTCTTAAAAAAAAAGTCGATTGTGACAAGAACATTTTCACCAACGGTAGGAAAATATGGTATTGCAGTAGGCAAAACTATATTTCTGGAACGAAGTTTCTGCTGTTGGTGATCAGAACACTTGTTCGTATCAACCAAGTCGATACTTATGTACTTAGAGCTCGCTAATTCTGAGTGAACACTAAACTAGTGCTAGATTAACGAATACTCACTATGATTAAATTATTTTTCTGACATAAGATCACTTGCTCATCAATAAGGACAATCTATCAAGTCGATTGTTGCAGGTGACAGCTCACCTGTAGTTATAGATATCTTTTCCGTTCGGACATCTCCGATATTATTCGAGTACCCACGCCCAACGCGATCACTGTCCAGTGTCCACGAGTCCACGGCGTCATTTCGATCTTTGCATTCGTGAAGTTAGCATACTTGCGTTCCCGCTAGTAACATTTAAATTCCAAGTCATGCAAGTGCCCTTTCGAACAACTACTATAATTATCATATTCGTATGAGAATTCTCTTTTTGTGTGCGCTCTGAGCTGTGGGGTTTTGAGTTCTTAATCTGTTTTCTTGAAGGAGATGATGAAATACAAAACTCTTCTAGAACAGTACATAATTGTTTCTACATATATACAGGATTTTTTCCACTTCCTATGATACTCGAAGTGGAAGGAAGTGACGTTTAATAGTATGAAAGTTGATTCATCTTCAATGCTGGAAGGAAAAAGATAGTGAACCAGAGTGCAGTGCAGTGAGTGATAGTACCGTTTTTCTCGGTGCATGATGCTGATATACGCGGTATCTACACAGAGAAAAAACTTCAATAATGGTTATTAAACATTCAATAGTCACAGTTAAAAACTTGAATACTATATGGGACAGATATACAGTATGATAGTGGTAGATAAAATATTTTACCTGAATTGGTATACCTGCAGCAGACACTCAATTATATAGTTCATTGATCGTTAATGAATGAATAGATTTAAAATCAACTCAGGATTATTGAAGTGTTGAATAACATTGATTAGACAGTTTAATTACCATTGAACATTAAGTAATTCCCTTTGAAACATCGCTATATTATCTTACAGACTCCTTCACCTGCTGTAGGTACACACTTCGATGATAGTCATTCAATAGTTTAATAAATTTTCAATACTATATAGTTGCCACAGGTGAAAAAGCATGCTGTTACAGAAAAATAGGTGATATTCTCTGAGATATATCTAACTGATGTTAGGTACATCCTTTAATTACTACCATTGAAGAATACAATTATTCCATAAACATTATTAAGTTGTCCTCGGATCATAAATTACTCGTCTCTGGAACATAATTCAATTATCTCAGATGTGCAATTCAATTGAAATATTGGGGATGTTCAATGTGCATACCTGAAAAAGGAGTTCAGAAACGATCATTCTGATTCCTGATTTTCAATGGCCTGGATATAGGAAAAATTAAAGATATTGTCTACGAGTATCAAGTGCACCCGTGAAAAACATTGAAAATAATGAATCGGAATGATCATTTCTGGTCCACTTTTTTAGATGATGCAGACCCATAGACATTTATTCCTGAATAACAAAAAATGATAAATGAGAAAAATCAAATCATTTGGTATTATTTTTGGTTAACTGTTCATCATTTATCAACATTACAGAATCAATTTTTGAAAGCTGTTGCATATCGTTCACTTTGGATATGTGCTTATTGTTGAATATTGGAGCAAGAAATCTTTCATATTTTCCAAGGTATCACACAATGAGGATGGTGATTCTATGGAAGAGAAAAAACATTGTATAAAATATAGGTACATTATATGTATAATATATTTTAGTCATTTGTAATTTCAGTACAAACTACATAAATAAATGAACTTGAAATAATTATTCTCAATATACAATAGTTGTCGAACTGACTCATATACAAATATATTTCAGACATTGATGGAGTATCTGCGGGCGGCAGGGGTACTAGGTCCACTTGAATTTAGATCAAGTGACATCAAGTTCTAATCAGGTACATCATTACCATCAGCATCCTGAAATTTGAAATTTCCTCTATATCATGTGTTGAATTTCTCCTATTATTTTCTTGAAAATTCAAACAAATAATCCTATTTCAAGAGATTCATTGGAAGAATAAACTCTTAACAGGTAGCGAACGTCCCGTGAGCCCATCCAAGTAAGGCCATTCTTTATAAAACTCTACTTTGACTCAAATCCAGGGACACCGAATAAGAAAAATCAAGATCCGTTTCCTGTAATTTTATCCCGTGTACCTACTATCAGAAATAAGATTTTTTCGCAAACATTCACAGTATATAGAGAGTCTTTTCATTTTGATATTTCCCAATTTATTTCTCGGCTTTTGTGAAATATAACTATAAAAACTCCTCTGTTTCGGTAATAACTTGAGATCAATTCATTCAGTTTTCTGAGATTATGTCTGTGGTAAGATGGCAATACCATATATGTCGAGATTTCGCCATTTCGAGTTTTTCACACCTATATGTTCGTAATAATGAGATCTATAAGATGGCAAAACCATTTGTGTCAGAACTATCTCTGTATGATTATATTCTTGGTGACAAAAATTAATATGTTGAATACAAACATGCTCCTGACTTTGGCAATACCACATAAGTTTCATAAATAATAAATCGCGTCAATGATTTTCTTGGATGATTGATTTTACAAGAGGGCAAAAGTAGTGAAACAAGAGGATTTCTACGGAAATTTGGCAGTTGGCCCGCCTAATGGAAACCTATTACATTCATTATGACGTATAACGTTCAGTTCACTTAATAATAATTTTATTTAATTAAAAAAAGATAATCATACCGTATAGGATTTGAACTTTGGATCTCTGGGTTGGCAAGCCGACACGTTACCAAGTGGCTATGGGGGGTCCAATTTATCAACGTGCAAGTGTAGGTACGACTCAACTTGTCCCCCTGTTTTCGAGAGATATTTTTTGGAGGGCCATGAGTATGGATATTCGACATATGGATGGGTATATGGATATTTGGGGGGGTTCATTTTGCTTCATTGGGCCAATAATATGAGCAATTTAAATAAATATATTAGGCTTATGAATGAGTTTCAGTAAATATTTCTATGTTCAACATAGATTTCATTTTTCGGTACTGCTAGTGTCCTCACTCGGACGTGAGTGGAAACTGTTTGCTATGCTTACCTTCTCCTATTACAGAGGTCTTTTTGAAGAATCTACTCGTATGTGTTACGCTTCAACCTAATTCCGCGAGGTGTCGCTACTGATACTGTTTTCCAAGGTTTGTAGAACTGATGATTATTTTGTGTTTTCAATATTTAATATGTTTTGCTAGTCTATATGGTCGTTTTTTGTGTTCCTAGAGTACCTAATTAGGCGAGGTGTTGCTTCTGATACTGGTTTCAATATTTTCCGTTCTTCAAACCTGCCTTTGATTTCACCGTACCGCTGGGGTCCTCATTCGGGCGTGAGTGGAAACTTTTTTCTGCGTCTACCTTTCACAGAGGTCTTTTTGAAGAATCTATTCATATGGTTCACGCTTCAACCTAATCCTGCGAGGTGTCGCTACTGGTACTGTTTTCAATATTTAATATGTTTTGTTAGTCTATATGGCCGTTTTTGTGTTCCTAGAGTACCTAATTAAGTGAGATGTCACTACTGATACTGTTTTCAATATTTCCGTTCTTCAAACCTACCTTTGATTTCACCGTACCGCTAGGGTCCTCATTCGGGCGTGAGTGGAAACTGTTTTCTGTGTTTACCTTTCACAGAAGTCTTTTTGAAGAATCTATTCGTATGGTTCACGCTTCAACCTAATTCCGCGAGGTGTCGCTACTGATACTGTTTTCAATATTTAATATGTTTTGCTAGTCTATATGGCTGTTTTTGTGTTCCTAGAGTATTCCTTTTCATAAAATAAGTATATGTTACTCCCAAAACATTGAAAAACGCACATTAAACACAAAAAAACGGACCGCAAAGCGTTCTGGATGGCGCCAAAAGACAAAATATGGAAATGATATAATGTTTCGCTTTGTGTACGTTCTTCTTGGAAAATTAGGTACTCTGAAGTCTTATGTTCCTATATTCTTTGAAAGTTCCAATTACCCAATGTTATTGATGAAATATAACATTCAGGTACCAGTACGTATAGGTATATCAAAAATGAATAAATAATTGACTTATGCAATGAAAATTAATGAATCTATTACATCAGCTATACATAAAAGGTTAACATGCACCAGGAAATTGAAATGAAAACATTTTTTTCAAAATAAGTGAATGTATATGCAACGGAGAACTATTTATATAAGGTGAAATTCAGTTCGAGAAGTACACAGTTAGTTGAAAACACAGTGAATTTATATACCAAAGAAGAAGAAGAAGCAAACGAATTTGGGGTGAGTGTTTCATTATCATTATTAACTTTTGATGGAGTTAGATTAAGATAAGTGAATTATTTTTTTAGGTGAGAAATACATGAAATATTCTCTCTAATAGAAATCGTTAATATTGAATGAGAAAAATGAATACTGTTGACGAAAAAATGGTAATATAATCTTGTGCGTGGGTGTCTCTTCACTTTTGAATTATTATATTTATATTTCAAGGTTCTAAAAGTGATGAAAACTAATGAAGCTGCTTATATACCAACAAGAGCTACTCTTGGATCTGCCGGTTGTGACTTAAGAACACCTACAGATTTCACTTTACCTGCTAGAGAGCGATTACTCGTAGACATTTTTTTAAAAATACAACTCCC